AGACGGGAGCAGTTCTCTCTGTGCCCAGGATGAGGTGATCCTTTTGTGGGTATTTATAGAGATCTGAGGGGGTGGGATGGGGGTGTGTGGTTGGGGGGTTAGAGGGGTGTGGGATTTGGGTTAACGAGTGGCTGCTTGTTTTGGTGTCCTGTCTGTGCTCTTGCCCTCTGAAGATGCCGGTCACAGATGCTGGCAAAAGGTTAGGAAACAAAACTTCCAGAACACGGCCACACAGCCCGGAAGACCCACACCAGCCAAAATTGAGATACTTATGCAGTATGTACTATGCACTCAGAATTCTGGAAATACTGTATAGCCAGCACTGTTGTCTGTAGATGGCAGACAGAATAACAGCTATAGTAATAGCATAACTCAGCCTTTTCATATATTAAAAATATGGTTATGTTATTGTTGAAGCATTGGTTTGTAAAAGATCCAGAACCTGTCATCTTCTGCCTAATGATGTCTGAATTGGCTACTCATTCTTTTTACATTATTTCCATAGCGTACAAACATAGTACTGGAAGACATAATAATCCTTGTTTCTTCTGCAGTACGTATGGATGTCAAAAGGCTTTCTTTCATTCATCTTCCTGGGTTGAAGTAAAAAATGCTCAGTAGCAGCAATGAAGAAATGTGCTAGATGGAACTTCCAGGGAGGGAAATAGCCGCCCTTACTGCCAGTGTCAGTAATATCTGTCCATGCTGGAGGAATTATCCATTTAGCACCTGTGCCTTTAAATGGAACTGGTTTATCTTTCTGCCATTGCATCTTTTCTCCTCTAATCGTGTTGAACCACCATGAATTAAATCAAATACATTTTATACAATGAGTTGTTCAGTAACTCTTAAGTATTTGTTGTATTCTGTGCTAACGTCTTCTACTCTTTCTTGTCTGGATATGTTTAAAAAGCCAAAGGTCATATTAGATAGTTTGATCTGTGTATTCTTTAGCATGTGTACCTGGTGTCTGTATAACACTGGATAAATAATTAGGGGTTATGCAGAATAATATTTAATACTTTGGACAATATACCTAACCTGAAATCACTATTACTGAGAACACACTGCAGTTGTAATTTATTATATAATACCTATTGAAAGTAATCTGCCATTTAAATTTGTCAAAGTGCTTGCATTTTTGCATTACACCTTAATGTAAGTTTTTAAAAGTCAATGCTTTATGGTAGAATTACCGCATTTTTAATTTTAGAAATAAATTCAGCTGAAAGTATTCACATCTTTTGAAATATTCTTAATGTTGCCAGTTTAAGCACAAATCCTGTACCTACTTACCTAAAAATGAATCCTGTAGCATTTAGTAGAATTCTATAATGATATATTAATAGAATTCTATAAATGTATTGAATGATATTGATGGAAGTGTATAGCAAAATGTGTAAAAATTATGTTTATTTTAGATTTCAAGTCTATAAAAAAAGAAAAACATGGGAACAGTAATCTGTCAAGCAACCAATTGTTACATAATGGTATGTATTGTAAATGTAAAGAGAACAGATTTTGGTGTAAGCAGACTTTTTAAAAATAATCTTTCTCATTTCCTTCTGTCTTCTGCCGCCCCTGAAAAATCTCTCTGGAAGGTGCCTTTTCCCAGTTTTGAATTAATGATTTTCTTCCATTCCAGCTTTCTTGAAGATATGCTGAGCAGTCTCCAGTCTCAAAGAGACCTTTTAAAGGAGGGCAGACAACTACAAGGAGAGGAGGAGACAAAAAATATTCTTAGTCACATTTCCACAGAGTTTCAAACCAACAAACTTAATTAACTTTGAAAGTATTTCAGTTTTGGTTAATTATTATGTAAGGTTGTCACTTACCAACAACTAAGCGTCTTTATGATTTATAAGATAAAGCTTTAGCATTAGGTCTTTTATTTTGGCATTGCCTTTGTCTGAATATTACTTATGCTTATGAATCCTTTCCCCAGTATATTTCATTCTAATGTTTTTAATATAATATTTTAAGATTATATTTTGAATAATTGCATTTGAGTAGAATGGAGGCATTGCCAGCATTACTTATATTTTAGAATTTCTGTAGTGTTCCCTTGTTGTTGGTCTTGTAAGGAAACGGTGTAGAAAGGCAATATTTAAAATAATATATACCTAAATAAGTTGATACACAGGGATAAATATGTTTAGAATTAAACTTGTGTACATTCCTATTGTCCAGAAGTTGTATACCTTTCATTGTTACTAGATGCTGCCCTCTGATTGCCACAGGCATATTTTTCAATATTTTTCTTTTACCTGTTGTGAAGGGAAATAGCTAGAATTTGTTAAGCAGAGTGTGGTGCATCAGATAATATGTAGGACCAAGGGTGTATTGCATTGCATTGAGTTCACTGGATTAGATTCAGGAAGACCTGCCATGGAAGCTCGCAGGGAGATTGTGGCCTTATTGTGGGGAATTGTTGGAAAAGGGAATATTGCTTGTGCCACCTTGGATTTCTAGACAAAAATGGATTTAAAACAAAGTAAAGAAGTAAATGTGTAGTTAGATATATAAAACAGGTTTCATGGAACTAAGTTTAACTGAGGCAAATTCTTCACTATAATAGATGCCCTCCTGGTTCCATTTTGATTTGTTGTTGTTGTTGTTGTTGTTGTTGTTCAGTCGTTAAGTCGTGTCCGACTCTTCGTGACCCCATGAACCATTAACAATTAAAGTGCACTGGCTCTTAGTGATAAGGCCTGAGTATACAAACACATATTCACAAACTTTTCTGCTCTCTTTTCTGAACCTGAGCACTTGATAGATGGCAAGAAACTTTAACCTTTCTCCCACCGTAACTCCTAGTGTAGACAAGATTAGTGGGGAAGGGTTTTAACTTTTCCTCTTACCATAATTTTTTTCCCAAAAGGAATCTCCTGGGATATCAGCAAGCTATTCTTTCTAGCTAGAACATTTATTTCTATCCAGCTCAGTGACTCTTTTTCCTTTCTCATTTGACAGTCTGCAGTTCCTAAATTCAGGTGTCTTTAAAGTTCCTTTTCTTGGTCTTCCATATATCAAGCATATGGTTTCTTTTCTTTCACACAACTGATCTGATAACTTTTTGGCGGGAAGCACTTGCTCCTGGGATAAATGCCATGGCTCCTCTCAGTTTATTTTGATTGTCTTAGCTCCTGCATTAGGATTCTCTATGTCATTTAGCTGATTTTTTTCCCATATACATATTTCTGTTTATTTCCTCCTTTATGTTTTTTGAGAAAAAAAAATTCGAGGAAGAATTGAAAACATATTCAGATTGAAAATGTTTTATGGAGAGTTAGTCAGTCTTAACTGTGTCGTGGAGTTTGGCTATTTGAATGCTATTTTGCAAATTTTCCAGTTGTGGAGGCAAGTTCCCTCAACTGGTAGTCAGTCTCCTGCTTTGAAAGGACCAAATTGGGCATATTGCCAAAATTTTACAAACTTGATTTCAGGTGCTATTGAGCATTTCTCAGTCACACTTTTGGCTGCAGCACTATTTGGTGCCATCAAAACTTTCGTTATTTTGATTTCATCATCTCCTTCCATTTCATTAGCTTTGCATCTAAGTAGAGCCTACCACTTCCAATTCAGGGTGCTTTCAAGGATGTGCACAAAATGCACGATAGTATTGGTCACCCATTTATGTTTTCTGGAAGTACAGGTCTGTCAGCTTCAAGTACTTCTATAGTGATGGTTCCTTATGCCAGGCTCCAGGACCTTTATTGTAATAGTACTTTGTGTGAAGCTTCAGCAACGGTTACTAGATCATTTCTTATCAGAACTACATCCTGTCTCAACCTGTTTTTTTCTTCTTAGCTGGATTTGTCAATTATTGCAGTAGTGGGGAAGACCTGCCATCTTGTAGAGAGTGAAGAAGATGACCTTCATGAGATAGGCAAGATTAATTACCAAAGAGAGGAGGACAACAACATAAGCCCAAAACATGCAAAAGGAATGTGAAAGTGGCTCACATAGACACTTCCGTAATTCACACAAATATAAGAATGGGGAAGGAGGTAAAGCACAATCAGACCTGCAAGTTTGTTACTATAGTCAATAAAAGTAGTTTTAGTTTTCCTGTGGAGTTGATTTCTTGGCTTGGTCTAGTCTACATAGTAGGGCTAACACACCTTAACCGAGATTGCCTACCTTTCCCCTTTTAGTTATCCATCACTGATAATGAATGCTAAGCTGAGCATCTCACTATGAAGCACTGACAGTCCAAAAGATGTACCATCATAGTTTTCTTTACGTTACAACTCTATGAAATCAGTACAGAAAAGTCTTGGGATTTTCATGCCAATTCTTCAAGACTATACCATTCAAATAATTTCAGACAATATATTGACAATTTTTTTTTTTTTAACAGACATTGTCCTGAACTATTTGCCAGCTCAGCCTGTATGTTTGTGTCCACACAAGTGCATAATGACATAGGTCTTGTTCCAAGCAGACACTGACGAGGTTCCTAGGAAATACTTTCACTGATATAAAGATTGGTCCTTTCCTATAAATATGCCTTCTACTCATGCTTCTGGATGTTACATGTTTTATTATTGCATTCTGATCAAGCACTGATGACCAAGACAATCCTAACTCACAATACAGTTTCTTTTGTCCAGATGGTAAAGCTTACTTTATCTGCCTAGAGATATGCATCTGGATTAACACACTTCTCATTGTGTGGCTCATTGTGGCTCTTCCTCACAGATCTTCATGAAGGATGTCATGAAGATTTAAAACTGGTATGGAAGTCATTTATATATGACTTCAGAGCAAATCCCATTAACAATTCATTATAACTGATCTTTTTGTTTCTTATATTGAAACAAGGTAACATAGATGACACTTTGATTCAGATCTATATAGCAACTACTGTGGCGGGCACAATTAATTTGGTGTTTTATTAGCCGATCACAAAACAATTTCTCAAAGGATTGTTGAATATCTATGCCAGTAAAGCTTCCAGTCCTTTCAGCTATCTTCTCTGTAGTGATATGTTTGAACTTCTTTCTACCATGAATACTCAGTTTCTAGCTCTCAAGAATGTTGGTGTTGATACTCACCGGTTGGGCTGGAGAATTGCATGCTCTTGAAACTGATGCCCCTTAGAGTCACATTGACAGAAAACCTGAACTTGTCTTCTGCCTAAAATTGTGTCAGAGTCCATTTGAACCAGATTTTTATTCTCTTTTTTCTAAAAGCAGCTATAACCTTAAGAGGTTTATATATTAGATATCTGTTGGGCTCTAGACAACTGTATAGATTATATCAGTACCTTTCATTGATCCCATATCAGCCTCCCAAGTAGAAGAGACAGAAAACTCAAGATGAACTAATTCTATTTTATTGTAAGGCTACGGTAGCAGAATCTTTCAAGTCTGAAAATACAAATCGCCCACCATCTCTTTACCACCTGAAGGTTAGGGCAGATCCTTTCTAAGTTTCTCTGCCTGTTACTCAGTTGCGGGGCTCCCCCCCTCTGTCTGATTGTTCCCTAGGCAGCATCTCTCCCCCCACCCCCTCGGTCTTCCAAAGTCATTCTCACATTTCATTACATCCCAAATGTTCCCAATTTCCTGTTAGAATTATGGTGAATGCTTCCTTTAAGCGTACTTTTATGGGCTCTCATTCCCTGACCTAAGCAGAACCTTCACATAATCTCAACCTTTAACCTTCTCTAGACATTATGATCTCAGTGCTTAAGCTTGTGTGGATGCCTTCTTTGGCTGAACAGTTCTTTGTTGGGTTCTTCATTAACTCTGGCATCTGCTCCCACCAGGAGATAAACTTGCTACTCCACCATACATCTGAGGCACAGAGAGTGCAAAGAAGATCATATTGCTTTCTTTGGGCATCTGCATCCACAAAACGCTCTCACTTTTTCCGCTTTAGGTGTCCAGTTTAATAGCAATCTGAACTTTTTTCCTTGGCATGGGTAGAAATTAAGGGGAAAGGTAGGAACCATCCCCAGGATTATGCACACATTGGACAAAAGCATTTCCTGCTGAAAAAAATGCCACAGCTCTAGAAGAATCAAATAAGGGTTCTACACAAATGCAGTACCCATAGGTGTACATGTAGAGGTGAACACCTGAAGAACCACAATTACATTTAAGCAATTTGGTTAAGCCCATTAAATGTTTTATAAATTATTTTTTAAGTGTGTAAACCTTGGAATTATACAAAGCATGGTCATATCTCTGTTTCTCAGTAACACGCTTTGGTCATAATCCTGGTAGCATTCTCCACTAGAGATTGCTATTATAAGGAATAACATTGTAGCATTTAGGTAGATGAAAATGGAACTTCCTTGGTAAATATACATTTTTGATGAAATAATACTACTTTAAAGATTTGAATAGTGATAGAATTGCAAATAACAAAGCATATTAGAGAGGATAATGTTCTGTCAGATAAAATAGGAAATTTCTTCTGGGAACATGTTTAGCATGTAATGTAATGTAATGCATGCATATATTACACACACACGTACACTTTTGGAAATGTATTAAAACTGGTACTGTAAATATACAGGTAGTCCTTGAGTTATGACAGCATTTCTGTCACTAAGCAATGCAGTCGTAAGTGCAACTGCATCACTTAGCAACAGCAATCCCTGCAGTCCCTGTTGCTATTGTTAAGTGAGGATCATGGGTCATTAAGTGAGCACCTCCTGCAGGCTTCCAACAATTAAAGCCAGTGGGGAAGCCAGCAGAAAGTTTCAAGTCCCAGGTAGTTTTGCAAGCAAGTGGGCAGGCAGGTAAGTTGCTGCTGCTGTGTGGGAGAGGGAGCGAAGGGCTGTGTGGGTGCCTGGGGAGGTGCAGTGTGAGAGCAGTGGGGCTTGGGGTGCCTGCTGCCAGGTGGGAGAGGGTGCACAAGTGTGCAAGGGTGCACAAGTGGCCAGGGAGGATGTTGAGTAGCCAGGGAGGCACAGTGCAAGCGCAGCAAGCTTAGGGACGGTGCATGAGTGGTGGGGGAGGCACGCTCAGGGAGGGTCGTGAGGGTGCTGCTGCCAGGTGGGAGAGCGTGTGCGAGTGGCTGGGGAGGGTGTGTGAGTGGCCGGGGAGGTGCAGCATGAACACAGCAAGGCTCCAGGGTGTATGGGTGGCTGGCCAGGTGTGGCGCGAATGCACAGGGACTTGGGATGGCTGCTGCCTGGTGGGAGAGGGTGTGCAAGTGGCAAGGGAGATGTGGCGGGGCTTGGGGTGCTGCTGGGTTGGAGAGTGTGCACGAGGGTGCACAAGTGGCCAGGGAGGGAGTGTAAGTGACCAGGGAGGTGTAGAGCACAGCGAGGCTCAGGGATGGAGCACGAGGGTGCTGTTGGGTGGGAGAGGGTGCGCAAGTAGATGGGGAGGTACAGTGTGAGCATAGCGAGGCTTGGGGAAGGTGTATGGGTGGCTGGCATGGCATGAGTGCAGAGGGGCTGGGGGGGATGCATGGGTGGGAGAGACTTAACCCAAGCAACTTGCGACCTTCCCTGGCGGTTTTCCCATTGACTTTGCTGGCAGGAAACTGGCAGGGAAGATAGCAAATTGTGACCATGTGACTGCGGAACACTGCATCTGTTATAAGTGCGAGACGATTGCCAAGCACTTAGATTGTGATCATGTGACCTCAGGGGTGCTGTGATGGCTGAAATTTCAAGGGCTGGTCATAACTACCACTCGTTCAGTGCTGTTATAACTTTGAATGGTCGCTGAACAAGTGGTCATTAACTGAGGACTACCTGTATATATCAACATAGATAAAGAAAACAATTCAGAAATCCTTGACACGTATTGGTTGCATGTATACTGAGTAGAAAGACATGTGGAGGGCTTCTTGAGAAGTGTTAGTGCCCTGTCTTCTCTCCCCCTACCCTTTCTTTTCTGTATTTGTGGGAGAGTTACTTCTAGATGAATCCACGATCTGCCTAGTTTGGTTCCAAATAGTGAAGAATGAAAGGTGTCTTCTGATTAGGAAGTCTGAATCCTGGGCCAATATGACAATGTAAACTGTTCAGTAATACTATAAACCTTGTGACACCAGAGGAATTACCAATGAAATACAGGTTTCTGGTATTTAGGCGGAAAAAAATGATATAACTTAAATAAGAGAGATTGGAGAAAAAAGGGAAAAAACAGAAAAAGCAAAATTTTAAGGGGAATAAAGATGAAGAGATGAAGGAAAAACCCAAGTATTCTTATTAGATTTCTGCCTTGGATCATTGACTTCAATTAAATTAGGCCTATGCATTTAGAAAAATCAGAGATAAATTGCTTTGTCTAAATTTATAACCTTATCTAAAGAGTTTTTGTAAAGCTATAACAAGAACAAGTTCCAAGAGTACAAGTAATAATAAGGGGGAAAGCCATTTTATTGCTATTCATAAAGCTGGTGTTATTTCAATCTTAATTAGAACTGAAATGACATGGACATATGTAAAAAAAAAACTTGGCAGATATATTTCTAAAATCTCTACATTTCATAAAAATGCAACAGACATGGAGTTGGAAGCTTAGAAAGCAGATCTTTATAAAAAGTGGGAAAATGGTAAAATTGAAGAAAAGTCATAAAAATTAATATCTCCCATCAGTTTCTGTGAGAAGCATCAGCATCAGGATCTTTTCAGTTTGAGCAGGCTGTCTTCCAATACAAGTAGTCTTCGGGTTACAATGGCAGTTGGAACCGGAATTTCTGTCACTAAGCGATGTGGTTGTAAATGCGATGTCAGGTGACTGCATCGCTTAGCGACGGCAGTCCCAGTCCCAAATGCCATTGTAACTCCAGGACCTTGTGGGTTGGTAAGCAGGAACAGGCAGGATCCCCAGGCAAGGAGTGCAGAGTGGCGGTGGTGCCATTGGCAGGTGCTATGGAGTGTACGGGGGTGGGGAGTGCCATGGGCAGGCACTATGGTGTGGAGGCAAGCTGGTTGGTGGGGACTGTGGGCAGGCACTATGGAGTGGGTGGGCAGGGGGCATGGACAGGCAGGGGATGCTCCAGGCAGGCGTGTGTTATGGAATGCACGTGGGGGAGTGCTATAGGGTGGGGCTTCTCGGGAGAAAAAGCAGGATCAATTTATGGGAGCAACTTTTAAACTTCCATACTGGCTTCCCCACTGACTTTGCTTGTGGGAAGCTGGCAGGGAAGATCTCAAATGGTGATTGTGGGATTGTGCAACCATCGTAAGGGCAAGCTGGTTGCCAAGCATCCAAATTGTGATCACTTGACTGCAGGGGTACTGATATGGCTGGAACTTCAAGGACCAGTTGTAAATACCACTCATTCAGCGTTGTCATAACTTTGAACAGTTGCTGAATGAGTGGTTGTAATCCAAGGACTACCTGTACTGCAAAGCGATCTGTATTTTCCCTCTTTATTCTACAACAAATTTGAAATTTTGAAACATAATGTTTGTTCTCATACAATATGCTTACCCATGAGTAAAGTGAAACATGATTCAGTTAACAAAGCAGCACTACCACAAGCCAGGTTCCTGAGATGGATTTGCGCAATATACAGTTGTGTCATCTGTAGTTCATTGCATGCTTAGAAACAACTGAAAAATTGCAATAAAGGCTAATAAAAGTCAACACTCTACTGTTGAATAATCAGCACAACACTGAATCACTCTAGAAGAACTTCAGCTACTTGCCAAGAAACTTCCTAGTCGTCCCATAGTACCTAATTTCAATATCATTGCCAAGAAAATTACATAACTGTCCATAAAGTCACCAGGAATCAAGCTCAACTTGAAAGAGACCTTACCAACCAGAAACACTGGGTGGCAGCATAGTATTATTTTTAGTTTAATTGTTTTGTTTTTTAGGTGTAGCAATTAATGGAGTAAAACACATAGACATTGGCCATTCTGCACGTCTACATGATAGCTTGTGAAATGTACATAGATTACTAGCATAAGCAGATTTTATTACTGGCAATATATAAAATACTTTGTTTTGCATTCACTATGAATATCTGAACATCCTTTCCTATTTGGCTGCCTTGTTACTGCTAAAAGAATAGGTGCAAATGAATAAAGTAAGTACTGTAAGAAAATAAGAGTTAAATTCACTGAGAGGTGTCTGTATCTTAAAGGAAAAGATAACATGATATTACCTACTTTCATGCTGTATCTCTTAGCATATATGATTGGCCATAGGGGTGGTCTCTACTGCCATCTGTACGTATTTCTGTTGTTTGCAGCAGGAAGCAAAACAGTTTTAGGGTTATTACTACTGCAGACTATTGCACACAGATTTACAATAATTTAGCTTCAATCTGTTGGAGGAAGGCGTTACTGGCTGACTCTTTTATGTGCTGAATACATTTCAGCTTCTTCAGTTTGAGCAGCAAAGCTTTTCATGGACTATCTGCCCTTCTGGATTGCGGTTTTTCATATTTGTTAAAAAATTTCAGAGGCCATCAGCAGTAGTAGATGCAGTCTATAGAGTAAGATCTCTTGTGTTTACAAGAAAACAATACTGTACTGAAAAAGCTACCTTAAATCTCATGCAGATTATTGTCTGGTTTTCGTAGCTTTAGTGCAGCCTTTCTTGACCTGGTGTCCTCAAGTAGCATTGGAACTATTCTCTTCAAATATTCTCATCAGCTTTCTGCCACTATGACTCCAAAATTCTAGATTGTTTGGCTGTAGTTCCACCTCATCTGAAGAACCTGTCTCAGTTGGGTAATGTTTAGCAATCAGTGGATGATAGGGAGTGCAACCTACTGGATATCTTGGTTATTTTGACATTATAGATTATATTGATTTTGTGGAGTCTTTGGTGCTCTCTTAGCTTGGTTGTTTGCTTGCAGGTGTTTCATTACCCAACTAGGTAACATCGGTGCCATGATAATGTGCATTACTGCACTGATAATATTACCTAGTCGGGTAATAAAATGTCTGCAAGCAAACAACCAAGCTCAGAGAGCACCAAGGACTCACCAGTTCAACCTTGAGCTATATATATTCTCTTCTATATTGATTCTGCCTATATATGTAGCATATACATAGCACCCTTGAAGAGTATCTGGAAGCTACAGCCAGGTCAAAATGCAGCCGTGTGGACAATCTTGGGTGTCCCAAGGATGGCACATATAACACCTTTACTGCGGGAGCTGCATTGGATCCCAGTTTGCTTCTGGGTCCAATTCAAGGTGTTGGTTATCGCCTTTAAAGCCCTACATAGCATAGGTCCAGGCTACCTGAGGGACCATCTCACCCCCATCACATCAATCTGTCCCACCTGGGCAGGCAGAGAGGGCGTGTTATGGATCCTGTCAGCGAGTGAATGTTGGGTGGTAGGGCCCAGGAGGAGAGCCTTCTCTGCCGTTTCTCCAACCCTTTGGAATATTCTACCCCCCAGAGGTACAGTGGGCCCCCACTCTCCCGGCTTTCCGGAAAGGACTAAAGACCTGGCTCTGCCAGTTTGCATGGGACAATAAGAGTTTTAATCAACCCTGGTGGTGGCTGGCGCCCTGGTGATGCTCCCTGAGCCTAATACTCACCAATTACCATCAATTCTTGGAATATATTTATTATTTATTTAGGACTACTTTTATATTGTATTTTTAATTAATTTTATCTTCTCTGTAAATTCCCCAGAGTCGCTTTTTAACGAGATGGGTGGTGACAAATTTGATATATATTTCAGTCAGGGTCAGGGGCTTGTCAAACTCCTATGATACAAAATATGGACTAGCCTCTGCTTGCTTTAGAACTAAACATCAAATGAGTTGAGATGCAGGACATGTGAGGGAATTCCTCAAGTATTTGATGTATGTCCTTTTTTGTTTGATTGTTTAAGCAGATTTTAATAGCCTTAACAACCTTGTTCTTGAATTAATATAGATAGCAGAGGAATGTTATATATGTTTCTGTCCAATACCTTTATTGTACAGTTTGGTTTGTGGAGTATAACTACATTGAATATTATCATTTAGATAAATCCTTCTTGTAAATTAGGTTTGACAGTTTAGACTCATTGCTGTCTAAATGATATTTCTTTTTATTTTCATGCAAATATTCCTTGGCCTCAATACATGAAATAGTAAAATATTAAATACTGTGTGCTAATAAGACAAATGTAATTTTAGACTAGATCTTTACATGTATAGTTTCCCAATAACAGAAAGTACTAGTTCCACTATATGTTGCTTTGGTCAAATCACATCTTGAGTACTGTGTCTTCCAGTTCTAGGCAATCTTTTAAGTATTCAGAGAAGGGCAGTGAGGATGAATCAGTGAATTAAGTCCTTTGAAGACATGTTTAGTCTTGAGGAGAGAAGACTGGAAATATACTAGCACTCCTGAAATACCTGAATGTCCTGTACTTCGGGACAAAGAATAACATTACAGACAGTTTGTACTGTAGTTGAATATTTGAAAACCTTCCAAACAGTAAGAGTAGTGATAGTGGAACTGGTTACCAGGGAGATGGTGAGCTCACCTTTGCTGGATATATCAAAGGAGAGGCTTAACAGCCATATGTCTTGCATGCTTTAATTTGGATTCCCACATTTAGCACTTTTCTGTACTTAAAAGGCCACATTCAATGCATTGTGTCTATGAGATAGAATCTTCTGAGAAAAATATGCGTACAACAACATTTGAGTAATTCCAATTAATTTATTTGATAATTCAAATGTCATAACATTGGAACTAATCCAGTGCAGGTTAAAAAGATTATTTAAAAAACTGAATTTCTTTACAATTTCTAAAATTAGTTTTAACATGTTTGGGAAAAAAATATTCTTAGCTTTTTGTAAATTCTTGTAAGATTATATTTACATTCCTATAGCCTAAGTCTTTTTATGTAGTCTTTATATTTAAAACAGCATGTTTAAATATTTCCATTTTTTCCCTAGAATATTTTAACTGGGATAACTACTTGAAAGAGACTGGATCTGTAGCTGCTCCTTCACAATGTTTCAGACAGGTGACAATTTAAAATACTAAGTTCCACTCATAAAATCAATGTGTTTGTAAACAGCCAAGATATATGGCCTTACTTACAACTGTAGCTTTTAACATAGCGTGCACTTAATGCAGTATGTAGTATATTCATGTTAGTGAGAATTACTAATATAAGAGGCATTATTGTTGCCCTCTTTTCATATGGTAGGAAATAATAGTCACCTTGCTTGATGTCTCTAATCAAAGAAAAGACAAAGTGGTAGCTGATCGCTTGTTACACAGAGTGATGAATACCATGAAATAAATTTAGAATGTATGTGTCAGTTTGTTATAGAAGTGTAAAAGTATGCATTTGTATAATTAGCAAACTGCTGCAGTGTCAACTTGCTCATTTTTAGATGTGGGAAAGTGCTCATTCATTAAATTCCCTAGACTGGTCTATGTATATTACTATCTAATAACCTAAGCTACTAGACATTGTTAGACTATATTGTAAATCTTTTGTTATCTTTCCTTTTTGTAGTCTAGGATTCCCCCTAGCAATGATTTTGAAGTGGGCATGAAATTGGAAGCTCATGACCCCCGGAATGTTACTTCTGTGTGTATAGCTACAGTTATTGGAATCACAGGTACTAGATTAAGGCTGCGGCTTGATGGAAGTGACAACAAAAATGACTTCTGGAGGCTAGTGGATTCATCTGACATACAGCAAATTGGAACGTGTGAAAAGAAAGGAGGAATGCTTCAGCCTCCTCTGGGTAAGGAAACATGATTCAACAATTTGATTTAAAGGCATCATTTTTTGAAATAACAAACAATGAAATAGTCATAAATCAAGAGAAAAAGAATGGATATAATCGGTGTTGATTGGGGGTGAGAGATCCAGCCCATGGCCCGTCCATTGTGAGGTGCCACAGGGTTTGCTATTCTCTCTACTCCTGTTTAACATCTACATGAAACCACTGGGTGAGATCACCCACCACCATGGGATGAGGTGTCATCAATATGCCAATGATACCAAGTTATACATCTCCATCCTGGGTGACTTGAATGATGCCGTAACCACTCTTTCGCGGTGCCTGGAAGCTGTGGAGATCTGGATGGGGAACAACAGGCTTCAGCTGAACTCTGGTAAGATGGAGTGGCTGTGGATTGGAGGCCCCTCTGTATCTGAGAATTTACATCTTTGGTTTTAGATGGGGTGGCACTGCCCCAGACAGACCTGGTGCATAATCTGGGGGGTCCTTCTGGACTCATGACTCCTGCTTGAGGAGCAGGTCACAGTCATGGCCAGGAGGGCCTTTGCCCACCTTTGAGTGGTGCACCAGTTAACAACCCTTCTTGGATCAGGAGGCTCTCCGGTCAGTCACTCATGTCCTGGTCATCTCCTAGTTAGACTATTGCAATGCACTCTACATGGGGCTACCCTTGAAGAGTATCTGGAAGCTACAGCTGGTTCAAAATGCAGCCACGCGGATATTAGGTACCCCTAGGATGGCACACGTAACACCTTTGCTGTGGAAGCTGCATTGGGTGCCAGTTTGCTCCTGGGTCCAATTCAGGGTGTTCATTATAACCTTCAGGCCCTACATGGCATGGGTCCAGGTTACCTGAGGGACTGTTTCATCCTCATTGCATCAACCCGTCCCCCCGGTCAACCAGAGAGGGCATGTTGTGGACCCTGTCAGGGAGAGAATGTCAGCTGGCGGGGCCCAGGAGGAGAGCCTTCTCTGCCATTTCCCCCACCCTTTGGAATATTCTACCCCCCAGAGGTATGGTGGGACCCTACCCTCCTGGCTTTCTGAAAAGGATTAAAGACCTGGCTCTGCCAGTGTACATGGGGTGATATGGACTCTAACTGTCCTTGGGGGTGGTTAGCGCCCTGACAATGCTGCCTTGAATTAGTTGCCAACTCCATCTTTCTTGGAAGTTATTTATTATTAGGACTGTATTTTAATGAATTTTATTTCTGCTGTAAATTGCCCAGAATCATTTCAACGAGATGGGCAGTGACAAATTTGATAAATAAATAATGTTAAGGATTGTATTTGATGCGCTTTGCACTGGTGATGGGTCATCCGTGCTTTGCTTCCACCCCCATCCCTACTCTGCCTTTTGTCCTAAATCATATCCATTATGTACAACTTATCTACTGTCAAACTAGGATTCCAGATGAATGCATCTTCTTGGCCAATGTTCCTCCTAAGAACACTAAATGGAGCTGAAATGGCACCTGCAACATTCTTTAAGAAGGTAAGAAGCTTGGTTACTGAGAAGTCCTTTGTGTTCTGTGTCTACTGTAGCATAAAAAGGCCAAGCTATGATCCCAATAGAGAGCAACCATTTGCACATTTTCATTTTGGCAAGTGCCATATAGACTATAAAAACAAAATTGACTTAGATTATATGCAACAAATTCAAGACAAAATCTCATTTGTGGTGCTGTGCTTACACATGCCATTTGAAAGATATTTTACAAGTTAGAAGTAACATATTAAATGCATGTATGTGAAACATGCCTGATAATCTCTCTTTATATTTTAACTAGACAAATGTGTCAGTTCCTATATGATACCCAACTTAGTGATATAAAGAGTAAAAGTGAAAAAAGGTAGACAAAAGATTGTTTTAAGAATGTATAGAAGGGATTTAAATGCAGAGAATGTCAGGTCTCTTATGTTAAAATCCCAACAAAGAAAAATCTCTTGAAACTCGTAATAAGTTCAAAAAGAAGTTCATTTATTGAGATGTACGTACAACTTCAAAGTATTGCTGAAACTAAAAGCCCACACTTTCTCACTCTACTTTTACCCCCTCGTTACCCCTCCTTCTCCCCTGCCAGCCCTGGGTTCTCATGCTGGCATGACCTTGTACATTCCTGGCTTCAGATAACAGTCCATCTGGGTTAACGGTCTTTCTATCCTTACTCCCCCCTCCCCCCTCCTAAACAAATGGCAGAAACGAAGCAAATAACTAATGACCGGATGGATTGATTGCTGGAGGTTCTGACATGCTGCCCCTCCAAAAGAAAGCTACGCTTCAAAGCTGGCTCGGGAAGACCTGAAATAGAGAAAACAACAACCAGAAATTTACACAGGGATACTAATTCTTAATTGTTTCTTACATTTACTTTGGTTTATCAGGATATCTTTTATAAAATTCTTTGATTGGTTTTGGGGCATTCATGTGTTTTCTAGCAACCCACTCAGATAAAGACTTTAGGAAATGTTTCCATTTGACTAAGAATTGTATGTCTCCCCTATCCTTCCTCACATCTAATATTTCTTTTATTTCAAAATGTTGCTCGCCCTCAACCATTATAGGCTCCGGGATGGATGGAGCCCTGTGCCACTGCTCTGATTCTACATACGGTTTTAACAAGTTACAATAAAACACAGGATTGATTTTTCTTAACGATTTGGATTACTTAAGGTGAACAGTTACTGAGTTAATTACTGTCTCAATTTCAAAAGGACTGAGGTATTTTGGCTCGAATTTCTTTGATGGTTGTGTCAATTTCAAGTTCTGTGTTAAAAGAAATACTTTGTCTCCCACTTTCCTTTTCTTTTCAGGTGCCCTCTTTTGGTCTGCATGTTTCTTGTAACTTTCTCTCTCCTTTTCCAATGCTTTTTCTGTAATTGGCCATAAATCTTTCATCTGTTTAACCCACTTGTCTGGCAATAGGACGCCGGTTTTTTCACACGGGAGTTTGGGGATGGGCACAAAGTCCTGACCCATGGCTTTTTTAAATGGAGTAAAACCCGTATTATCATGCACAGCATTATTGTAGGCAACTTCTGCAAATGGCAATAGATCAACCCAATTATCCTGTTGATGGTTCACAAAACACCACAAATACTAGTCCAACCCAGCATTCTGTCATTCAGACGCCCCATCCATCTGTGGGTGGTAACTCAAACTCAGCCCGTTTGGCTTCAATGAGCTTCATGAAAGTTTGCCAGAATTTTGAGGTGAACTGAATTCCATGGTCGCTGATTATTCGATTGGGAATGCTGTGTAAAAGGTATATATGTTGAATAAACATCTTTGCTAACTGGGTTGCTGACGGAATTGCTGCACATAGTATGAAATGGGTTTGTTTTGAAAACAAGTCTGTGACCGTCAAAATTATAGTCCGCTTCTTGTTTTCGGGAAGATCTACAATAAAGTCCATTGTGATCTCTTTCCAGGGTTTGGAGGGAGTCGCTACGGGTTGCAACAAGCCCATTGGTCTCCCCCCGCGTTTTTTTGCCATAGCACAAGTAGGACAGCTAGCTGTTTATTCAGCTACATCTTTCCTGATTGCCGGCCACCAAAATTGTCTCTGGAGAAGGTGCAGAGTTTTCACACACCCAAAGTGTCCCGCCACTTTGTTGTCATGGCCCCTCTCTAGTATTAATTTCCTAGCTTCGGCTGGCACATATACTCTGTTTCCCATCCACCAAGCCCCATTCCTTTCTGCCAGAGAATCCTTATTTTGTAGAAACCATTCATCTTTTTGCAGATGCAGATTTAGCTCTTTTAACAATCCCTGCTCCGGCTCTTCCCTTTTACTTTGCCCTCTGGTGACCGCTGCCATAGCATCCTGACACATGGGAATTACTGGTGCCGCAACCTTTTATCTCTGACTATTGTGTGGTGGCAGTCGAGAAAATGCATCGGCCAGGAAATTCTTTCCCCCCAGCATGTATTTCAGGGTTAATTTAAATCGGCTAAAAATTGCGCCCATCAGACCTGTTTTGGGGATAACTTCCATGGGGATTTCAGAGCCTCCAGATTTTTATAATCAGTCCAAACTTTACAAGGCATCTCAGCTCCCTCCAGGAGGTGTCTCCAGTTCATTAACACCCATTTTACAGCGAAGGCTTCCTTCTCCCTGCAGTAGCACTGCCCCAATTGCCACATCGGAGGTGTCTGCTTGCATTACAAATGGTGTGTCTGGATCCGGATGCTTGATGATGTGCTCCTCTGTGAACAGCTTTTTTAGGTGCTCAGATGCCTCTTGGCATTCCTCTGTCCAATCTAAGGGCATCCCTGGCTTTTGGGCTTTGACTTTATCTTTCCCCTTAGTCAGTAAGGGGAAAGTAACTTAGTCAGTAACTTTATCTTTCCCCAAGTCAGTAAGAAGCAGAGCAAATTGGGCGAAATTGGGAATAAATTGACAGTAAAAGTTAGCAAATCCCAAGAAACTTTGCAACTGGTGGCTTATTTTTGGCACTTCCCAGCCCACCACGTCACAGGCTTTGCTTGGGTCCATCTCCACCCCTCGGCTAGAAATCCTATACCCTAGGTAATCAATCTGTTCCTGGTGAAACTTACATTTTGTAAGTTTGGTGTACAATTGTGCATTCAACAATTTCTGTAGCACTTCCCTCATCAATTTTACATGTTCATCCCAATTTTCAGTATGATCAGAATATCGTCCAGATAAACCAACACTCCTTTATACAGATGCTCATGTAACAACTCATTTATCAGTTGCATAAAGACCCCCCGGGGCCCCTGAGAGCCTGAATGGCATCACATCATATTGAAAACAGCCTAGGAGGCAGTGGAATGCTGTCTTCCATTCACCCCCCTCCTTGATCCTCACTCTAAAGTAAGCATCTCGCAAGTCCAGTTTTGTAAAAATTTTCCCCTTCGCCAAGTGAGCTAATAAAACCTTCATTAGTGGGAGGGGGTATTTGTTCTCCTTACAAATGGCATTCAATCCCCTATTATCTGTGCATAGTCTTAATGACCCGTCCTTCTTCTCTTGGAATAGCACAGGTGCTGCCAGTGGGGACTTAGCGGGTTCTATGAAACCCCTTTGTAGATTTTTATCAATGAACTCCCTGAGAGTCACCATTTCTTTCAGAGTCATTGAGTACATTTTTGGGGTGGGATATTTTGCCCCCAACTCCAGTTCAGTTGCAGTCAGTAGTGCGATGAGGTGGCAGCTGATCCGACTCGGTTTCACTAAAAACTTTGGCCAAGTCCCGGTATTCCTCCGGAACTAATACAGCAGCTCCTGAGTTCACTGGGGTTAGGACTGGCACCCTGATTGCTGCTACCGCTATCCTGGGTGCCCCGTTAGCGTCCTCCCCTTTTCCAGTCCCTGTCCCATCTTGAAAAAGCATGCTTTTGGTGCCCCAGTCCACATACACTCTCCACAGTTCCAACCAGGACATTCCTAAGACCAAGGGGTGACCCGCAATGGGGGCGACTAACCACTTTAAAGTCACTTGATGAGAGCCAATCCTCAATTCAAAAACTTCCATGTAATATTCCACAGGTCCCCCTCACACAGTTAAACCGTCCAACTGCCTGAAGGCAATGGGATGTTTAGTCTCCACACCCATAGTCCCAGCCCATTCATCAGAATGGGATTACTCAAACATCGGGAGCACCCAGAGTCTATTAAAGCTGTCAACTCCACCTTACGAGTAGTCTGCAGAGCCCTTATTTTCACCCCAACCGTCATGGGACTCACCTGAATGTCCTTGTCATCTGAGTTGGGATTTGACTCCTCACGCCTCGGGTCCTCTGCCTGCTTTCGGGCATACTTTAAAGCAGGCAGCTGGAGTTTTCCGCCGGCTGCTCCTCATCTTTTGGTTCACTTTCAATCATCAGTTGAATTGGGAACTGTTCCTCCTCACCTGCCGTGGCTGTTCCTTTCTTCTCCGGCTTCACCAGCTATGTCGATTTACCAGTTTGCTTAGGCTTTCTGACCAGCTTCTGGGCTGAGATTTTCAGACAGGTGGATGCAAAGTGCCCCTCTTCTCTGCAGTTGAAACAGGACTTTCCCACCGGCCGGGCACCTGCTCCAGTCACCATGGCTTTCCCACTTCCCTTAGAAGCTGGTGGGCGGGAAGTGGTCTCTGCCTTCAGCTGGGTCATTGGGCCTGATCCCCAAACAGCCATCCATTAGGACTCCATCATGGAAACATGGGCTATCCATCCTTGTAGCATGGTAGGACATCCTCTCATCAACACCAATTCCCATAGCTTGGGATTCAGCCCCTTCTGGAATTGCCACACTTTGAAGGACTCTGGCCAATCACAGAGTTTTGCCGCGAGTCGTCTAAACTCCAAGGCATATTTGGTCACTGACCGGGTACCTTGCTTATGCTCCTTGATAGCTTCTTGCGCCTGGGTATGAGCACAGGGGTCCTTGAACTGATCCTGCAATGCTGTCATAAACCTGTCGAAGTCTTCCAGCTCTGGGGCATCGGCTTCTTGCAAGTCAGCCGCTCAACCCACCAAATAGTGGGACACATAAGTGACCCTCCAGGCATCGCTCAGGACGAGATGACCGCAACTCCCCATGCAGATCCTGACATGGTTCAGGAAACCGGCCAGCTCATTCGGTCTCCCCCATATGGCTTGTCGAGGCCACATCATTTCAGCAGGTTGCCTTCACTTTCAGCCGGGCGGCCCTGAACCCAGGGTTGGTCGCTGGGGCCCCAGCTGGGGACCCTGGGGTTTGGAGCCTCTCCCATTGCTGTGCTGCCCCCCGGCCATAGGTTGCTGGCCCAGGTCCGGTCCAGCAGGTGGCTGGCCTTGTCCCCCTGTTGATAGGAGTCTCCCCAGCATGGCTGTCAAGGGCTTCAGTTCTTCCCTCACCGCTCGCATCTCACTGCAGAGGGCATACACCTCCCCCTCCAGCATCTGGAATCATGGGCCCACGTTTTGGTGGCAGCTCTCGTAGCCCTGGTCACATCTCCGATTGCCGCTGACCACCTGGGTTGGGAAGGCTTTGGCAGTTCTTTGGTGGCTTCCCAAAATTCCAGCAGGCTCTGAGGTTCCCATAATTGGCCACGCCGGCACTCCATCTTTTTCATCACTACCTGGGCTTCGATCGCTTGGGCTGGAATCAGAATCTCCTCAATCTCCAGCGGGGGTGATGGCTCCTTCGCGATCCTGCCCGCGGCTCCCATCTCGATCTCCGTGGATCCGCCCTCGGTGGCCAGGATCTCCTCGATTCCCTTCTCCTCCTTGGGCATGTTGATTTATGGGATTTTCCTTGGTGCGTTGTCTCCTCAGATAAAATGTGCTTGAGTTAGTTTCAGCAAAATGTCAGGTCTGTTATGTCAAATCCCAATGAAGAAAAATCTCTTGAAACTCATAAGAAGTTCAAAAAGAAGTTCATTTATTGAGATGTACATACAGCTTCAAAGTATTGCTGAAACTAAAAACTCGCGCTTTCTCACTCTACTTTTACCCCCTCGTTACCCCTCCTTCTCCCCTGCCAGCCCTGGGTTCTCATGCCGGTACAACCTTGTACATT